GAGTATTTTGTTTCAACAGGTTAAGCTTAACACAAGACATTAATGATCCAATAAATTATGCTGAGCGTGGTCCTCATGGTCTCACAGAGGCAGAGAAAACACCTGAAGCGGGCCATAGACTGTACCAATTTTTGCCCTTTTCTGGCCGATTCTCCAATGGTGTGAGAATTTTTAGATCGGGCCGACATTAAGGTTCACTACGTTCGTCCCGTAGTGTACAAGGGGTACCGAGGGGCGATCAGCCTCTCATGACCACCTCCCATTCAGTTATCGTAAGGTCGGGAGAAAATCAAACGTGTAAAAATCAGTGTGCCGTTGTAAAATTGCATCAGACTGCCGCACATTGTGAGAACATACACCGTGAGCTGTGAACTTTTAAACCCTGCGGTTTCGTTGTACAGTTTGAGCTGTATGTGTGTGCCAGGAGTGAAAATATTGCACAGTTTATCTGTGGCTTTAGCTCTGTTAAGACTTTCCTGTTACTCTCATGTTTTCTGTCAGGCTTTAACCAGTTGTTTGCATATCCTACTTTAATTGCTCTGGTTCAAATTGATTGATTGATTTTTGCCTCTATACAGTTTGATATTCTAAGTTTAATAAAATCTATGACAGATTTATAAATACATGATACGGCTTTTTTCCCCATCCTTGTACACGACCAGCCGGTCGTGTACAAGGATGGGGCTAGTGGTCTGTTGCTGAGTGGTGGGCGAATTCAGCACTTTAAGGAAGACCAGGTCAGTGTCCCACTCTTACCTTCTGACTCCTGGCTGGGCGTTCTCCTGGCCCAGCAAAGTGATAAAGAGGGGCATGAAGGGGTTGCTGGAACACTGTTAAGGATGAGGAAAAAGGCTTGGGTTGTGCAAGGGATGAGACTTGCACAGAAAGCTGTAAATCAATGCATTATTTGCAAGAAGATGAGAGTACAAGTGTGTCAACAAGTGATGGGGGACCTACCGGTTGAAAGGACGAGACCTACTGCACCCTTTCAGTTTACGGCAGTTGATATGTTTGGACCCTACTTGGTCAAGGATGATGTACGAAAAAGAGTGTCCACAAAGGCATTGGGAGTCGCCTCTCTCACTCTTAATTTCATGGGTCCGGCCCTTTCAAGCGTGGGGTGCAGCTACTGAAACGCTTGACAGTCATACATGTTTCACGTTTTCTCTGCTCCTTTTATAAGTTATTTATTTTAGACTATAAAACCTTCAAGAGATATATGTAAGTGTGAGTTTGTAGCATCAAAAATGGGGGGAAAAAACATTTTTGAGGGGCGGGGTCTTAATGTTTCTACATATGTTTGGAAACTGTGTTAAGATAAACCAAGTGACCATCAGGACATCTGCACAAAAGGCATAATGTTTTCAGGAGTTTAGTGCTAAATAAAGGACCTAAATGTGGATCCCAGTGTGGCCCTCTGTAGTTGCAGCCTTTTCATGTCCTTATCACCTCTCCACATGGCCACTTCTGCCGTGCCTATATTTGGCTCGCCCTCCATGTTGATGCTCTGTTGCAGTGTCTAACCCAGTTTATTCTTTGCACTTTTCTTCCAATTTAAAAGGTTATGACTTCATCTTGTCAGTTTGCTTTTTTTGCTCTTTAATAAGCCAATAAATCGGAACATAAATTATAGATTTGCTTTTTTAAACCCTCATCTTCACCAGCCCCCTGCAGATAACATGCAATAATAACCTTTTACTGCACAGGCTTTCACTGATTGGACAGATAAACACAGTTTTAAGTGTGGTGTAGTATGGCTCTGAATATTAAATGTTAATGTCTTGGAAAGCTGACCTTGGTCCAGTTTTCTCCTGTGTTACAGTATGGAGGAACAGTGAAGGTTACCTGTTTGTTTTTGCATTAGGATGCTCAGAGTGTCCTGAACTTTGCATATCATATCCCGGCTTGTAGACGGTTGTAATCTTTATAGATACTCGGTTTTTATGAGAAACATGCCATCGTTTCGAGTTTGTTTAGTATCTTGAGGGCCCAGATCCTTGGTGGCGGATTTGATTTAATTCTCTTACAGCCAGTAGATGCATGCTTCTTTATTAAATAACATGCCACATTGCTTACCTTGTCATCTTTTTTCTGCTGAAGGAAAACCCGTGATACTGATTAATTGTTAGTTGGTCTCAGAGCGTAGCACCTTTTCAGCACATCCAATGTTTCACCACCTCGGCTTGTTTTAAACTGCAAACTTCATTTCTTCATTTCATTTCTGCACGGGAATTCTTCTTGACTCTTCTCGTAAAGGCCAGCTTTGTGGACTTTCTGACCAGCAGTTGTCCTCTGTAGGTCCCATTCTCTGCAGCTCCTTTAGGGTTGTTGTAACTGGCTTTTCCTGGGGTGTTAAAGGCATACTATGCAACATTTTTCAGTTAAT